TGTTATTTGATCTTATCTTTTGTTTTATCGTTTTCTTCTTCTTGTTTATTTCTCTTTTTCTTTCTTTATCTATTAATTTCTTCTTTCTTTTGTTTCTCTAAATTCCATTTCAATATTCGTATTTGTTCTTCTTTCTGATAAACTTCCATCTGATGTTTACTATTCATTCTTTCTATTTCATTTTCTCTATTCTTTATTCTTTATTTCTTCTTTCTTTGTATTTCTCCATTTATTCTATTATTCTTTCCATTTCTTTTATTTCTCTCATGTTCTACTTCTATTTCTTTTTGCTCATATCATTCTATTATCTCTTCTCTTGTTTTATATGTCTTTCTTGTTCTTTTATTATTTCTTCTTTTCTTCATTTTCCATGTATATTTATTCTTTCTTAGATAACTTCTCTTTCACTACTTTTTTCTATCTCTTCAATCTCTTTATCCATTCTTGTATTATTTTTTATTTTCTTTTATCTCTCCTTTGTTGTCTTTTCTTGTGATATCTTTTATTTCTGTATCTTTTACATTAATTCTCATAATAATATTGATTAAACAATTTATCTGTATTATGATATTGTGGATATAATAAATACTTTCATTTTATTACAAATGTGAATAATTGAGAAAGTACAATTGTATTTATAATATGATAATTAATAATAAAGTGATTGTGGATATTGTTTTGATGATAATGATTATAGTTATATCCTTGATAATATCATCTAAATCTATTTATTAATGAATATTTATTTCCATAAGATTTTAATGATTCTTGTGATGTAGAAATAGATTAATGTGATAAATAATTAATAATTAAAAAAAGGATATTTTCAGAGGAGTAAATTTGAATTCAGAAAACAAGAAAAGAAATAAAGAAATAGAAGAAAGAAATTAAATGAGATGATCACGAAGTTGTTTATTATGGTCTTCATTAAGAAGAAGAATGTCATTAATTTGATCAAGAAGATCCAAAGAGAATTCGTCTACAAAGATATTTTTCATAGTAGTAATTTGTTTAAAAGGAAGTTCTTGATTAGATTCAAGAAAAGTAAGAGCAAGTCCTTTATAACCAATACGACCAGTTCTTCCAATACGATGAATATAAGTATTGATATCAATAGATTGAGAAGGATAAATTAAAGGGAGTTCAAGATTAATAACGAAATTAACATCAAGAATATCAATACCACGAGCCATAACATCAGTTGTAATAAGGAAATTAATTTTATGATTTCTAAAAGCATCAATAACTTCATCTCTAATATCATTATTACCAGCCATAAGTACAAGAGTTTGAATATTATTTTTATTTAAATAATTCATTAAATTAATAGCATCAGTTTTTTTATTAGTAAAAACAACAGCTTGACCACAACCAGAAAGTACAGATTCATCTTTTGAAGAAAGAATAATTTGTTTAAAAATATCAAGAATAACTTTTGGACGTTGTGATGATGGAATATTCATATAAAGTTGACAAATAGTTAAAGGAACTTCATTTTGACGAATAAGAATATGTGATGCATTATTTCCAATAAATTTAGTTTCTAATTTTGACATTTGATCAGGATAAGTAGCTGAAACAAGAATAGTTTGAACATCAAGAGGAATAATTTTTTTAATTTCACAAACTGATTGATAAACAGAAAGTCCATTTGAATTTGAAGATAATTTAGTATTTAAAATAGCATCTGCTTCATCAATAATAAGAAATTTAACTTTTTTTGGTTCAAAACTTTTATTTTGAAGTCCTTTTTCAATAGTTTTATAAATTGAACTAGCTGTTCCAATAAAATATTGTGATTTTATATCACCTTCATATCCTGGAAGACATAATAATCTTGTTACATCATCCATTAATTCTGTTAATTCATCAAAAATACTAGCTGTTTGTCTTGCTAATTCTCTTGTATTAACTATAATAATAACTTGACAAAATGGATCTTCTCTATTAATTAATTGTAATGTAGAAAGAAGAAATGCCATTGTTTTTCCACTTCCTGATTGTGATTGCATAACAAGATTTTTACCTTTTCTATTTATTTTAATATTCTTTTTTTCTTATTTTTATTTATTTATTTTATTTTTTATTTATTTAAAACAAACAAAATAATTGGAATAGCATAACTTTGTATTTGTGATGGTGTAATATATCCCATTCCATTAATTCCATCAAGAATATCTTCATTTAATTTACATTCTTGAAAACTTTTTGCTTTTCCTTCTCCACCTTTAACAATTATATCTTCTTCTTTAATAATATTATCTGTTTGAATATTACTCATAGAACTATTAATTCTACCTTCTTAACTTTTTTAAACCCTTTTATTTTCTTTTTTATTATATTTATTATGCAAGTCCTTCATCCACATAATTTTGATTTTGACACTCTTATTGACCAACTTCGTCCTGAATTACCTCAGTCAAATTTAATTGATCTCAACAATCTCATTTCTATTGACACTCATTTCCCTCTTGTCTTTTCCTCTGTTTTAACAAAACGTTTGAACCTCCACATCCAAAAATGTCCTTCCTGCATTGATGACCTTAATACTCTAAAGTGTCTACGTTCAACTAAAACAATTAATCTGCGTGGAAAATACAATACTTGGTTGCAACAAATAAACAAGGACCATAATCTTAATCTTAAAGAAGAATCTGGAGAATCTGGAGAAATTTTGGTTGAAAGTCAAAGTGATGGAACAATACCAAAAGAAGAACAGATTTTACCAACAATTAGTCAAAACAAAGAAATTAATATTAAAGTTAATAAATCAACAACACCATCTATCATAGAAAATAAAGAAATTAATACAAAAGAAGAAGAAGATAATAATAATACAAAAGAAGAAGATAAAAAAGAAATTAATACAAAAGAAGAAGAAGATAATAATAATAAAGAAGAAGAAGAAGAAGATAAAAAAGAAGAATTAATTAGAAATATTCAAAACTATTATGGAGAAGAAAGTAAAATTAAGAATTATATAAGAGCAAATGAAATAGAAAAAGGAAGAAAAAAAGTAGAATTAGGAAAAGAAATAGAAGAAGAAATAGCACTAATAATTGGAGGGATTAGTGATGATGTAAAACAAATAGAAATCATTTCAAGAGAAATAATAGAAATATGTAAGAAAGAAAAAGAAAAAAGAGAAGGAATTATTATGAAAATCATCGAAAATATGATAAGGAATGAAGTTGTTGTAACAACAAATCCAAACAGAATTCATGTATATGGAGAAATAATAGGAAATATATGTTTTCAATGGAAAGAATATAGAGAAAAAATTATAATAAAATTAAGAAGTATAACACCTATTTTTAATTCAATTTATCCAAAAACAAAAAATAAAGAAGAATATGAAATGATAATGAAATATAAAAACAAAGAAACCGATGAAAAATATTTTAATAGAATAAGACATACTTTTAAAATATTAACTGGGATTTTAATGAGTGAAGCAGGAGATCAAACAATATTACTTGATATTGTAATGAATGGAATTTATATGCAATATGATAATAAAGAAATTTGTTTAGGAACTGTTGGAGATTTAATTGGAAGTATGGTTGAAATTATGCTTGATGAATCTGGTGATCAATTGAAAAATACACCACACATGTCTCATATTATTCAAACTATTAAAGAATATTTACCTATCGCTCAATCTCATTGGGATGGAAAAGGTCCTCAAGCTGATTACGTCATGAGAAAAATTAAAGTCCAACTCACCCGCTATGAGAAAAACTTACCTTTCAACAAGAAAGTCCTTGACTATCAAAATGAACTTATTACTTATAAAAAACAAATGGGTTTAGAAACTCGGGTTTGGCAAAACACTACTAAAATTAACTTAGTTGAATCTAATGACACTCTCTTTAAACAAGAAAGTATTAAACAAGAAAGTATTAAAGAAGATAATAATAAAGAAGACATTAAAGAGGAAAATACTAAAGAGGAGAATAGCAAAATCATTAATAAAGAAGATAATAAAGAAGAAAAGATTAAAGATAACACCAAGAAATATGACAATAAAGAAGAGAATAAAGACAATGTTAAGAAAGAAGAAAGTGTTAAAGAAGAAAAGATAGAAGATAATAACAAAGAAGAAAGTAATAAAGAAGAAAATAAAGAAATAGAAAATACAAAAGAGAACAAAGAAGATGATGAGAAGGACAAAGAAAAACAAATAAAAGAACAGGAAGAAGAAAAGAAAAAAGAACTTGAAGATGACCCAGAAGCTGAAGCTGATATTTATTTTAAACCTATTATTGAATTAAAAGAAATTGAACAAGAAAAAATGGAAGAAGAAATTCTTTTCAAAGAACGAGGAATTTGTGTTAGATATGATTCAGAAAATGAAGAATTTAAAGAAAGAGGAAGAGGAGAAGTTGAAATATTAAAACATCCTAATACTCAATTATCACGTGTTATTCTTATTCGTGACCAAATATTTAAACTTGCATGTAATCATTACATTTTACCATACATTAAAATTAAAGAATTTCCAAATAATCAAAGGGCAGTTATGTATTCAGTTTATGAAGATTATGCCCAAGATGAACCAAAAAACATTATCACATTTGGAATATGTTTTAACAAAGAAGAAATTAAAGAAAAATTTATTAAAATATTTAAAGAATTACAAGAAGAAACACAAAATATCATTAACAAGAAAGAAGAAAAGAAAGAAGAAGAAAGAAAAGAAGAGATAGAACATAAACAAAAAGAAGAAATAAAGAAAGAAGAAATAAAAGAAGAAAGAATAAAGAAAGAAGAAATAAAAGAAGAAGAAATAAAGAAAGAAGAAATAAAAGAAGAAGAGATAAAGAAAGAAAATATAGAAGAGAAAGGAGAGAGTGAAGAAAGAAATAGAAAAATATTTAATTATCAAGAATTTGACATTTTTGGAGGTAAAAATCCATATGATAACATGACAACACAAAAACAAGAAAACAAAAGAAAGAAAGGAAGTGATATAATAAAAGAAGAAGAAAATGAACATATAAAAGAAAAGAAAAGTGAAGAAGAAAAAGAAACTCAAGAAGAAAAGAATAAAGAAAATAGAGAATTTAAAGCATTTGATTTTTCAAATATTCTTAATAAAGAAACAGATAAAAACACATTAATGATAAACACACAAACAGAAACAACACACAAAAAAATAGAAGAAACAAACATAATAAATGGATTAGAAAATCAAGAAAAATCTAACACATTAAATATACAAGAATATGATAACACACAACCCCAAAATAACACTGAACAAAAAATCAAAGAACCATCAGAAATCTATACTTCAAATCATGAACAACTAACCCCTTTTAACCAAAATGAAAATCAAGAAATTATTAAAGAAGAAGAAAAGAAAAAAGAACTTGAAGATGACCCAGAAGCTGAAGCTGATATTTATTTTAAACCTATTATTGAATTAAAAGAAATTGAACAAGAAAAGATGGAAGAAGACATTCTTTTCAAAGAACGAGGAATTTGTGTTAGATATGATTCAGAAAATGAAGAATTTAAAGAAAGAGGAAGAGGAGAAGTTGAAATATTAAAACATCCTAATACTCAATTATCACGTGTTATTCTTATTCGTGATCAAATATTTAAACTTGCATGTAATCATTACATTTTACCATACATTAAAATTAAAGAATTTCCAAATAATCAAAGAGCAGTTATGTATTCAGTTTATGAAGATTATGCCCAAGATGAACCAAAAAATACTATCACATTTGGAATATGTTTTAACAAAGAAGAAATTAAAGAAAAATTTATTAAAATATTTAAAGAATTACAAGAAGAAACACAAAATATCATTAACAAGAAATAAACAAAGATATAATTGAGTAATTTTTAAAAGAGAAAAAGGAATTCATAAATATATCCACAACAGAAAATGTATTTTCTTCATATTGAGAAGTGATTAGTTGAGTTTGGTTATAAGTTATATTTTTATTATAGATTTTCTTTCAAAAACACTCAAATTAAAATATTCTTCATCTAATAATTATCATAATTGAATATTTAAAATATTAAATTTTCAAGTTTTTAATAATAATTGTTTGTAAGAATTTATGAAATTTAATTTATATTCATAATGACCTTTTTGTATTAATTTATTAATAGTATTAATGGTTATTTTTACTTTATTATTCTCATCTTATGTTGTCCTGTAATTCTTTATATTCTTTTGTAAATATATTTTATTTTGATATTTCTATCTTGATATATATTATTATCATTAATATATTCTTTTTTATTTCATATTTTATTAATATCATGTCTTTTAGTATAGAATGAATGATCATCAATCATTAATTCTTTCTTATTATACCATTTCATCATTATTAATACATTTATAATGAACATTGAAATCAAATGAATCAAATTTATTGAAAATTCATAACAAGTAATATTGTTTATATATTTATTTATATAATTCATGTTTTGATATTTGACTCTTCTTCATTAAATTAGAACAAATATTATTAATAAATAGAATATTGTTATATAATAATGTTTACAATATTTTAATACATCATTATGGACTATTTTATCTTTATTATTTCATATCATTTTCATTCCTTCTTACATCTTTACTATTTAGATAAATACATTTCTTTTTTTTATATTCAATGATTTTCATTCATTTAAATATCATTTAATTCATTATTATATATCAATTCACTTTCTTTACATTATATTTTTCATTTATTTCGATTACATTTTTTTCATTGAAATTAATCTTCATATTAAATCCTTTCTTTATTCTTTTAATTGTTCATTTTGATTGTTTTTATTCTTTCGTTTATTTTATTCATTTCTTGTATTTTAATTATATTCTTATTCATTCTTTACACATTTATCTTGTACTAATATTAATCATTTTCATATTTCATTTATTATATTAAATAATCTACTTTTATTGATGTTTCTATTATATAATTTGAGTTAGATAATGACTTTCTTATTTCTTATTTATTTTCTCAATTTTACTAACTTTCCATTTAATAATACAGATTTAATGTATTAAAATAGAAACAATATCATTATTAACAATTTATATTGTAATTATAATGTTAGAAATGATAATACTTAATGATGATATGATTGAGAATACAACATTTAATAAATATGTACAATAGTTATTAATATTTATTTTATCTCTTATTTCAATATAAAATATTTATAATGATTATTATTAGTTATTTTTTGTAATTCAACTAATTCTCAATTTATTTGATCAGTGATATTAGTTATTAACACTCTTTTTTCTACATTATTTTTTAATATTATTCCTTAAAGTGTACCAAAATAAATAAATAAATAATGAATCTAAATAAAAAAATAACAAAAAGAAAAAGAGTAAAATATTTTGAATCAATAAAATAATAGTTTTTATTATTTTACTCCTAAAAAATAAAAAAGTAAATTAAATAATCATTTTATATTCATTTATATTCATTTATATTTTATATCATTT